GTAAATCTTCAAAGGGAACAGTGTACTTTATAACTTCATTCACATCACCTTGGCTACGTTGTTTCACTTTCTCAACAATAAAATGTAAACATGATTTAAGGAACTGCCTATTTTCTTTTTAATATTAGAAAACTTAACAGACAGCAGAAATGTTGAGGCGTCGTGCTGCATATATGAGCGTCATCTTCACTGTGTGGATATTTATAACAAAACGGAGCCGATAACAACTGCCTCCTTTCAATTTCAGTGAAAATACGAAACGCACCCTCTCTTTTGCTGAATATCAGTTTTAATAATCGATAATTATAAAAGTATAACATACAATAAGTTTATACATTGTAGGAAATAAAGGCAAGCGATCAGTCAATGTACCTGGATTAATCATTAACTTATCTTTGCGCTTAACCAAAACATGTTACCCGTGAACAAGTAACTTAATAGATTCCAATGACCAAAGTCAGGGACTTGGCCTATGTCGTTAGATAAAGACAACAACATGAATGAAATATCACGTTTAGCAAATATAGCGAGATCAGATCCAGCGGGAGATGCTTGATGAGCAGTCCGACAAGCAGAGCTCTCATCTGGGTAGAAATGCTGGAGCGCTTGCCCCAGAGTGTGTGTGTGGTCACGTGATGTGCGTTTTCAGCGTTTTGGTGTGGACGGAGAGCTGTTCAGAAACGCTGGGTAAAACGCGAGTGTGGACGCGGATCGTTTTCATTCTACAACGCCGTTTTAAAACTAAAACGCACTAGTGTAGACGGGGCCTTAGACTATAAGTCCCAGTCCACACAAAGACATTTTTAACACAGCACTTTTTTTTTGGTTTCACTGTTTGTCTAAACAAAAACAAAGTTTCGAGAGACTTACTGAAACTTTCTGAATACTCTTGCCAGGGTGAAAATTTTCCAAAGCTCAGTGTAAAATGTGGTCATGACACTACAACCATGAGTTTTTTCCTCATGACGTCAGTGTGCATGCTGTTCTCTCCTTTTTGATTGGCCAACTGCTGAAATTGAATCTGACTGATTCACACCAAATGTGGAAGACACAAATAAGACAAATATTGCATGTTCACGGTAAAACACAACAGTAATCGGCATCTGTTTCAAGTTTAAGTTGACGTATTAAATTGTCCTGCGAAAATATTTAATAACACATTTGGTGTGATCACAGCATTAAAGTGTCTTTGTGTTTGCCTGTTGGTTTGGTAAGCCCTTAACATGCATGAGGATGGAATTTCTTTAATGAAAGTGGGGAAAACTCTGTGTGAACAGGGCCTGAGAACTATACAATATACAATTAATAATAGTAAAACCACTATATGGCTTTGTGTTCTATGGCAAATTTTATAGTTAAATATATATGACATTTATTTAACAGAAGCATTCATGAAAAAATAATAAAGAAATTTCATATTTAATAAACATTTATTTGTTTGATATTAATGATACAGATTAACAGGTTTATGATATCATATAATGCTACTGTCAGGCATTCACCTTCAGCCATGAATCCCAGCACCCCAGATCTCTGTCACCTGAATTCTAATCCATGCCACCTGTGCACTTCCTGATTAACCTATAAGACACACTCAAAGCATTTTGTCTACATTTCTCTTACCTTAACTCCTCTGGCTCACTCTTGGGTCGTGGTCATCATCATCATCATCATAATCACACTACTCACCATCTATCCATTCAGATAAGCAACTGAGTCAATGTTAAAAGACTGAAATGTATAATAGATTTTATTTAATTTTAGTCCAGTTAACTATTAATTCATTTAAATCCCAAAACATTTTCTGAGATTAGATACTGAATGGCTTTGGACCTGTGGATCAATGAAATTGATCATATGACTCAAAGTACATGCAGGACCACTTCCTGAGCTGTTCAATCTGCAATTATATGAAAACTTGCCTTCAAAATTTTGTGGCCTCTTTACATTGAATTACCCACTCCACCATTTGAGGAAATTTTGGGAAATATATTTTGTTTTTCTTTAAGTTTTAGTCCTACAAACATTTCCTCAAATACTCTCAAGGGGACTTTTTATTGATTGTAGATTTATTCAGCACATTCAGATTCATTCATTTTCATGTCGGCTTAGTCCCTTTATTAGTCCGGGGTCTCCACAGTGGAATAAACCACCAACTTATCCTGCAAGTTTTTACACAGCGGATGCCCTTCCAGCCACAACCCATCCCTGGGAAACATCCATACACACTACGGACAATTTAGCCTACCCAATTCACCTGTACCACATGTCTTTGGACTGTGGGGGAAACCGGAGCACCTGGAGGAAACCCACGCGAACGCAGGGGAAACATGCAAACTCCACACAGAAACGCCAACTGAGCTGAGGTTCAAACCAGCGACCTTCTTGCTGTGAGGCGACAGCATTACCTACTGCGCCACTGCTTCGCCCCACATTCAGATTCAATATAGAAAAATATAAAAATGAATACACAATTCAGCTTTTAATCATTTCCATTGACAACCTTTAAAAATGGCATACAGTGAACACGAAAATGTAGGGAAATAATTAGAGTCACCTTTATTTTAATAGCACTTTTTACATGTCAATGCAGATTGTGTCAAAGCATCTCCAAAGTGATAAACATTCAAATTATAAACAAGATACAAATCATACCTCAATCTTTCTGTTTTGTTCTTTAGTAGCTTAATATGCTTTCATTTTCATTGCATTGGAAAAGAGCATCTTAGACATTTTTTTTTCAAATTGTCTTTTGTTCCATATAGAAGTCATATGAAATGCCTATATGAATCACTTAAACACATTTTTTTTTCATAGTGTATAAAGTTGATTTTTAAATTATTTATTATACTTTGTCTCCGTTTTAGAAATAAGGTGTTTCTAATGTCACAATAGTCTCTAAAATTCTGAGTTCTGTCATCTGGAGAGGAACTTACTCTACCCCAGTTCAGCTGTATTCTTTGACATCCTGTTGAACACAAAGTTCCTTGTTCAGGATGCTACATATTATCTGCCTGGATGTTAGTAATATTGGTAGGCATCTCTCTCTACTCATTGTTAAAGACACTACACTTTCTGAGACTACTACTGATCCGTGGAAATCCCTAATTTGTAGATGTTAAACATTGCACTTAATTGAGGTGAAGTGACAGTAGTGTATATGCATGTGGTAGCAAAAGTTAAGAAGTATATGCCGAGTTATTGAGAGGTCTTGAACTTGATTTATCTCCAGAGCTCTTGAAACAAGTACTAAAATCTCCCCATACAATTGGACAACAGAGAGCACATTCCTACCTCTAGGGGACGGTAGAAGCAACACACTTTAAACATCTACCTATGGCTTAACGGCAGGGATCACAAACTCAGTTCCCGGAGAGCCGCATTCCTGCGCAGTGTAAACATTGTGTATGCATGCAGTGTAAACATTGTCAAACAACAGATTGTTTAAAATTAATAGAATGTTTATGATCATATACAATAAATGTTTTTTTTAGCATTATTTGTATTTTTGTAACCATGCTACTTTGATAAAAAAAAGAGATTTTAACTGGAAATGGGTGATTCATTTAAATAATTATTTCTATTAAAAACATTAGTTAGATAATACTTTATGCACAACTCTAACCTTATGCACATATTTATTTTAGTTTCTAAATCATTGAAAGCTATAAATCAAAAATGTTAGAAATAAAACCGAAATGTAAGTTTTTTTTAACTCATAGTCACTCAGTCACTGCATTGTAGGTGCATTTTGCTAGTACTGGATTAGATTTGGTTTTCAGGAATGCCTTAATTATGAAGTAAATTGTAGCCTTAGGCAGCCTGGTGGCTAAGTGGGTAGCACTGTTGCCTTACAGCAAGATGATCACTGGTTCTAGTTCTGACTGGGCCAGTTGGCATTTCTGTTTGGAGTTTGCATGTTTCCCATGTTCACGTGGGTTTCCTTTGGTTGTCCCCCACAGTCCACAGACATGTGCTATAGGTGAATTGTGTAAACAAAAATTCCCATAGTGTGTGAATGTGAGTGTGTGGGTGTTTCCCAGCACTTGGTTGCAGCTGGGAAGGTCCACTGTGTAAAACATATGCTGGAAGAGTTGGCTGCTCTATTCTGCTGTGGCGACCACTGTTAAATAAGGAGGAAAATTAATGAAAGTATTATATCCTTGTGTTTTCTGTCCATAGCTGACAGAAGTTGCACCAGTGTGGTCTTCTGCTACTGTAGGCCATTAAATGTGGATGTGCTAAATGTTCAGGGGGTGTTTTCAGTGTAATGAGTGTTTTTTTTTTTTTTTTAGTTAAGGCAACCATACAGTGCAAATTTCGATGTTCAGGGAGAATGGTAACAGTGCCACTCATTAACTTCCTATCCGGTCTCCTGCAATATATAGCCCACATTTTCTATGCCTAAAGCCGCCACTTGGATGAAGGTCACTATAGTAAGGGCAGGTAGGAGCAGGTTGTGTTTTTGGAACTTAGTGACCTGCAGTAGACAGTCAAGCATCAATCAAGCATTTCTGTGGACTAGTAGAGGGATGTTTGGTTTTTGCATTTAGGCAAACTATACAAAAAATAAATAAATTAATTAATTAATTAATAATATAATAATTTTTATTATTATTTATAATATATTCATTTGAATATTTTCCTTTATCTGATGCAGATGAAATTAAAGTCTTCTAATATCTAATTTGCAGATTAAATATTTGAATTGACATCCAATTAAACAGCTTTACCGTATAAAGTTGCTGAGTGAATATCAAAGTAAAGTTCAAATTAGGAAATAAAATTATAAATATTCATTATATATAACATTTCACATGTATTATACTTAATTTGAAGACATTTATGAACTAGGGCATATCGTAATTCAATATTACAATGTAGATTGTTTTTAAAATTAAACTAAATTGTAACTGTGATGCACCAAGATTAATACAATTTATTCTCTCTCTCTCTCTCTCTCTCTCTCTCTCTCTCTCTCTCTCTCTCTCTATCACTAGGAAGCATTTGTGGAGCTCTACAGCAGCCAGAGGGATTCTGTGTTTCACAGTTCATGGTCATCAATAGTAACGGTCTTTGGTCTAGCTGCTCTCGGGGCTGTTGGCTTGACCATAGGAGCCTACCTTGCTCAACAATAAGGAACCTTCTGCTTCTTCACACGCCTTCCCTCTTTTCTATCGATTCAACACTCTCTGTGCTGTCAAAATTCCATTCTCTGCTTTCCCCAAAAGACATTCATGTCCCAAGACTGATCCTCTATAAAGCCTTGCTCCCACTCTTTTCAAGTCTTTCTTTCCCACTTTATTTCAAGTCTCTGCTTTCAGAAAGTCAGAAAAAAAAAGAAAATTAATGCACAGCCGACACATAATGAGAGGTTGGCAAAAAAGATAGACAAAAGGTGAAAGACACTGATGACATTGTTTAAATTAATTCACATTTTAAATAATTTTGAGTGTAGTACATAACAGACTTACTGGATTCCTTATATAAATATGAAGATGATTATAAAGATATAATTATCTGCATGAAGCATCTGCACTAAAGTAGATCCTGGTTTTTTAAACAAGTCTTGTTTTTTGTAGGATAGTTTTATAGTGTATGAAGAAAAAGAAATAGTGCAACTGTTAAGGCAGTTGTTTAGCCGATAGTGTATGTAAATGTTTAGTCACAGTATCCCTTGCACACATGGCAATTTTGATTTGATTATAGTCGACTCTGCCGCGATTGCTCATCTAAAAAAAGAATGCTACCATCAAAACCACGGTCCACACTAAAAAAAGTAGACTGAGACCACTGGACAGTTAATTCTCTAATCACTTCCAAAGGACTCTGCTGCAGTTAAAATGAAGTATGAATGGATCATGGAGTTAAGACAACTGATGAGAAACTAAAACCGGACAAGATTCACCATCAAAAAGGCAGAAGGCTTAAACCATCTTTAAACATCTAATGCAACACAGAAAGTTCAAAACAAACAATGTCCAAAAAAGGAACCAAAAACCTTGTCAAAATATTCAATGTGGCTTCAGTTATTCAACTCTAATCATGTGAAGCTCCAAGAACATTTCTGTGTATCAAAAAAAAAAAAAAAAAAGAAATTCCACAATTATTATGGGCGATTTGACGTTTGCAGTTGGGCTGCTGACTCTAATGGCAATACTTACTAAAAGCACAGCCCGACGACCTGCCGTGGGAGAAAAGGTTCATCATTACAGTTTTTATAATTACAATTGAACCACTGAACTTACATGGGATGTTTTGAAAATAGTCTTGATTCCTTTTCCGGACATTGAACATCTCTGGACTGCTGTCTATGGAGGATGAGGTACCTTATATCTTAATTTTTGCTCAGAAGATAAATGAAGGTCTGAGGAGGGTTTTAATTTTTAATTAAGGGTTTTTTATTTTATTAGCTCTTCACAAGTTTTCTGGTGATAAAAACACCATAACGTGTGTATACTGTGTATTGTCTTTAACCCAGCATACAATATTGTTTTGAATGTTCAGTAAGTTCTGTCACATAAAATTTGACCTAAAGTATCACATTGTAAACACTGAGCAAACCAGGACCATTGGTGCATTCACATCATGTTGTGGTTACAAGATTAGTAGCATTCTCGTGGAAATTGTAAATAGAATTTGTAAACTAGAAGCTTTTAGACAGCTTATTTAAGTTTCTTGTACCATCTGACTGTTCTACCACTTAACCACTAAAGAATTTAGATTAATTTAGGGTGCTATGATCAGGTGTTAAGAGTTGCATACACAGATATGCATAACTTTAAGTCAGAGAACATTAAACAGCCCAGAAGAGAATAGTACGTCTTTCAGGTACATCCCTCAAACATCTCTCTTCAGAATGTGACAAGCACACCATGTGTCATGATAAGAAACAAAAATCATCTTCACGTTTGGAAATATTCTACATATTTTAGCACTAATTAGAAATTCAGAGCACCTAATGTCAGTCACCTAAGCAATTACATACATTAGCTTTTGAAAATATTACTTTGTTTGATTTATTCAGTTACAAAATATTTGTTAAATGAATTTAAATGTAAATAAATTGTATACATGAGTAACTGTAATAGGATGTAATAGGCTATTAAGGACTCTATTTAGCAAAACCAAATACAATTATCCAAAACTAGCTGAATTATATAAACCCAATGCACTTCTTCCTGTTTATTCATTTTGATTTTAGTGGAACAAATGAAAAATACAATATACAATACAGATCGCAGATGTCCTTATACACAAAGAATCCCAGCTTCAGAAGAGGCAACAACAAAATGTCCATGTTGTAAATAAAACAAATATTAGTAATTGATTTTACTTAGTCATTTGTGATGTATAATGGCAATTTAAATTAAAACACCATATTTCATGTGGTATATTTCATGTGGCTTGAGCCGCATGCGTTTCATTCTGCATTCTTCATTTGTCATTCTGACAAAATGTCTTAAATCAAATATATTCTAAATGCTTTACTGTAAAACATTGAATTAATAAGAAATGTTTTCAATTAAACTAAGTTATGGTTTTAGGGGGTCATCTGCTAGTGGCAAATAATAATGGCTACCAAAATATAATTATAGTTTAGCTTGACATAAGCAACAAACACTTTCTTAACCTATATCAAGATGTATTCTATAAAAAAAAACAGTCTTAACCAGTCATGTTTCTCAACTACATTTAGGGATTTTACACAACACTGAAATAATTAACACTTTAAAACAGGTTTCAAAGTAAAAGCTATAACTTCATGCATTTTAAAAAGTTCAATTATATATGCCCTTCGAAAAGCTTTTAATATGGATTTAAATATTATTATTCAACCCACATCAGAAAATAGTTTGTGACGCACTCCAAATGAAACTGAACAAATTTGTAAATTATATTAATAAATTAGCAGTTTCTTTGTATTTTGTGATTCGTGTTTTTTTCTTTTTCTCTGTTTATTAAGCCTTTCGAATTGCATTACAGGACTTTGATTTTATTTTCTTTCAACAACTTTTAACCTTGAAAAGTTTGAGTCTGGGTTGGTGGTTGTAGTTCTCAGGGAAAGGCTTGTAATAAACTGCCAGTACATTTTCTGTTATTTTAAAGATGTATTTTTCTATATATTATATCTTATCCATTATATTAATTCAAACAAAATGTCAATAAATTTCACTTTGTTAATGTTGTGATAACTAGCAATGTAGCCGTCGCGAATGCCTGTATAACACTCCTTGTCGTTGTGGAGCTGGGTCTATACGCCCCCCTCACTTTCATAAACAGACCATTTAGAAACAGATGATTAATAATTATATGAACATTTTGGATCTTATTCAGCTGCCCCCCACTTTTAAAATGTCTACTACGCCCCTGCTACCATCTGATTCTATGTTGAAACTTGCCTGCCTGACTACTTCAATGAAAGCTGCGTTGATATCTAACCCTTCTTGTTTACACCATTACAGACAACTAAGCAACAGCATGGATCCAGCAGTATTTTTAGTTCATCTATGTCAAGGTGAGCCTTTTCCTGAGAACTACATACAGGATTTTCTGAACATTGCTGAATGGAGATAAATAAAATAAAATAAATGAAAAAAAAAAATACAGCATCAAGTCTTATTTCTCCTTTTTTTTTAAAATTGTATACAATAAACACAAATTAAAGTAAACACTTGTATAGCAGGATGTTTTGTTGGACATTGTTGGCGTGATGTTTTCCACAACTTTATGACCAAGAATTTAGTATATTATAATGTCAGAATCTGTAATCACACTAGAGCTCTCTGTGCACACAATATAATTGATAAGATTACAAACTTCAAATTGCAGCACATTCATCAAAAAATTAAACAAGCAAACGTACTTGAAAAAGTTTATTCTGCTAATTTTAAATGGTAATTTTACAGTCTGTTTAAACAATTCTGAAATTAATTGCATTCATGCCAAAAAAGAGATGTAGCCTAAATCAGTCTAACAATACATTTGTTTTGACGAGACGTTTATAGCTTATAAAACATGTTGTTTATATAAAATGCCACTATAATTAATGTTTCATGAATATTTTTTAAATAATAAATGTATTTTCATAATATGATATCTATATTGTTCTGTGCTAAATACTGATAAAATATTGTGCATTTCCTTTAGCAACTTAAAAATTACTGACATAATTAAACCCAAATAGCATACGAATGTGGGCATCTTTAGGCAGTTATGCAGCACTGCTGGTATTTCTTTGGCCCAGACAAAATGAATGTAGGCCTAAAGTGGCCCTCCTGTACAATTGCAAAGGTGGGCAAAAGATTCAAATTCATACATTGGCCATATAAGGAAAAGATTTGGCACTCATGGCAAAATCTAATCTGTACGTGAGCCGAATGTGGCCCATGTGGAAAATGATAAATTTGGCCCAAATGATGGAGGTCAAATGTGGGCCACAATTGGCAAAATGTGGCACAGTCATTTAAGGGTAATCTGGGTCTAAACATAAAGTGGCTCTCACGTGTAAGCGCAAATATTATCTTAAGACATAATTGTGCCACTTTTGACAAATATTTGGCACAGTAAGATCTGGCTATTGCGGCTGTGAGCCTAATGTGGCCCAGAGAAAATATGGAAAATGTGGCCCAGTTATCTTAAGACATATGTGTGCCACTTTTGGCAAATATTTGGCACAGTACGCTGTGGCTATTGTGGCTGTGAGTCTAATGTGGCCCAGAGAAAAGATGAAAAATGTGGCCCAGTTATCTTAAAACATATGTGGGCCAGTTATGGTGAATATTCAGCTCAGTAAGCTATGGCTAATTTGGATTTGAGCCTATAGTGGCCCAGAGAAAATATGGCAAATGTGGCCCAGTTATCCTAAAACAAATGTGGGCTACTTTTGGTAAATGTTTGGCACAGTTAGCTCTGCCTAATGTTGCTGTGAGCCTAAAGCGGCCCAAAGAAGATATGGCAAATGTGTCCCAGTTATCCTTAAACAAACGTGGGCCACTTTTGGCAAATATTTGGCACAGTTAGCTCTGGCTAATGTGACTGTGAGCCTAAAGTGGCTTAGAGAAGATATGGCAAATGTGGCCCAGTTATCCTAAAACATATGTGGACCACATAGACTTAAGTCACCGTCATGGAGAAAAGTGTTTGCTTTAGTTGAGCTCATAGCCCTGAACCTCTTAAAGGGCACCTATGGTGAAACATCTAATCTGTTTGGACAGACATGTGTGTGGGTATAGTGTATAGACCATCATATTGGGGTGATATCACCACACCCAGTCCTTTTATTTTTTTTTAATTTACAATGCAAAAACGGTGGACCAATTGGAGACCGACCGCAACTTGACGTAGAAGTGTGGTTCCCCTGCCCAACGAATTGATTGACAGCTGCGTATTAACATGTCCTGTAGTCACGTGTATAATCATATCAACAAGACCAGACGTGCACAAAGCAACCGGGAATAAAAGGTCTGTTCAGTTTGCTAGGATCATCAATCATCATCAAATGTGATCAAGAGTGAGTTTTACAAGTTTAAAATGTTTTAAAACAGTGCATGTGTGTAATGAAGTACAACAATTTACTTCAGCTGTACTTCATCAGCACAGCTGTGTGTCAGAACAATTATAAAGGAATACGCTTCGATCCCGCTTTGTGGACGTTACATCAGGTTTATTTTGTACATTAACATAACATATATCCATACAGCAGCGGAGATTATCCTGTATCCTGTCACATTTGCTTGCAAAAAGAGTGCAAAGCTAAATGCGCGCTCTGTCTGTCTCTCTCTCTGTGTATGTGTGTGTGTGTGTGTGTCTGCAATGTGTATCTGTGTGTGTGTGTGTATGTGTGTGTGCACTTGAACTTTGTAACAACATTGTGTGTGATTTATCGATGCAACTCTACAACAAATACTCATTGGCAAAGTTCTTACTGTCGTATTTCTCACAAACGATATGTGAGATCTGCTTCCTTTAAGTCTGTCTGTTGTCTTGTGCAGCCGAGAGAGGAGATTAAGGCATGCAGAAAGGCATGTAGAAACAGTAGGCGGGAAGGACTAGCCTTATAGGCGCAGTACGACAAAACCGCTACCCCATGCAAAAAGGTATAGGATAGAATCTTGTAAAAGGTCTAATAAAAAAATCTGATGGGTGTTTTAAACTGAAACTTTACAGACACATTCTGGAGACGCAAAAGTCTTATATTAAATCTGAAAAAGGGGTAGCCTAGGTGCCCTTTATTATACATTTTTTTTGGAAAGCTGTAACTTTTAAGAACTTTGCTTGATAAGTTTATTCATTACAGCAAAGAAGCCAAGTAAAAAAAAAAAAAAAAACTTAAGTGAGGCTCAACCTGTGATGAAATAATATAATTCACTGATGTTAACCAATGTTTAATCCATTGTTAGAAGTAACGTTATAACATGCTTGCACATGCCACAGAATAATGAAAGTTTATAAGCAAAAAAATGTCTATGGTTCAACTTCATCATATAAAGAATAATAAAAGTGACAAAATCAACAACGTCAACATAAACAGCAGAATCAAAAGCAAATAATGAAAGCTGTAGCATCAATAAGCTATATAATGTAACATATTGTAACCTGCATTCTGGAGATAAACATTCCATTTAACATTCCAGAAAACAAGTCTGGGAGACTTTACAGAACCACTCTCTGCCTACTTCAAAAGAACATGACAGATAAGAT